CTTATTCACTGAAACATTCCCATTGAACAAACGTGGTAAGAAGGTTAAGGCGGATATAAGGAGGAAAGCTGCTAGTCTTCTCGGGCGGCTCACACTTGAACAGTCATTTCAATAAAAGGCAGAAAGACCTTAGTGTGGAACTTTACATCTTTCGCAGAAGAAAAGCTATGTAAGGGAATGAAATGGTGTTTCGTTCAGAAGAGAGGAAAATGGTGGGAGAAACGTATTAAAACATTAGATTTTAACTGTTTGTTACATGTATTTGTAATGATTTAATTTCTGATATGAATAAAGTTAGTTGAAGCCAAAGTGGTTGGCTTGTTGATTTGTGCAATATAACTATAGAAACTGTAACAGTACCTATAAACAAGGGCATCCTCTTGACGCATGGGAACAGTCACCATTCAATGAACATAATTATAACCTCGAAAAATTGAATACGACTCTGTTTATGTTAGTATCAAAGAAAATATATTCTGAATTGGACTTTTCGAAAAATTATTTCGGCCGCCATCTTGTTTTTTTTCGATAAATCTACAAAACTGAAAAAGAAAAAGTGTATCTTCATCGGGCCACTCAAGCCACACTTGTGGTTCTATGTTATTTGGAAACATGACATTAATGGCAATTGTTATGTTCAAAAATAAAATCGGGGCAGCGTCGGCGTTTAGTCAGAATCTACGAAAAACGGAAGATCAACTTTTCGAAAAAAAATCAATCGGCAAGTTATACTCGATATAATTGGTCAATTTCCACGAATTCGGTTTTAAAATGTTCTTCAATAAATTCCCCAGACATGGGTTACGAGTACTTTGATAGTTGGAGAGTATTTCGGGATGAAAATAGCCTAAATGTTTCAACCGAAAGTAGATGCGCAGAAAACCTGCGCAGAAAACAAATGTAGGTCTTTTTCACCAAGCGGCCGATTGCCTGTGAACATGAGAATACAGTCGTAACACTGTCATGACTGTGCGTAAAATGTTTTTGTATTTGTGTATGAACTTTTTCAACTAAGAATGATTTATTTCTCTTTACTCTTGGTGTTGTAAATAAAACCAAACTCCGAACGTAATACGATATACTTAGTTCACAACAGACGGCATTAGGGAATGAAAAATAATATCGTTTTTGACATATTATATCTAGTATCGCCTCGATCTTTAATCAAACACCAACACTGTCACGTGAGGTTTAATTTCAACCCATTTCTCAGCCATACTTAATCAAACTACTACTCGGGGTGATAGTAATCCTCAGAAATAAAATACTTTTCAATTTACGACGTATGCATATTTTGACGTTAAAAGGTCATGGACTGAAAGTATGACCCCAACGAATTTAGTTTCTTAGAACAGTACATGTTGGTGAAGGATTATTGATTCAGCAGTTTTGAACATAGAATTGAATCTAAATTAATTAATGCACGAGTTAAATTTGAAGCTTTTAGACTTTAAATCTTTGCGGTTCCACAATGATAAATTGTAACTAGGCTAAGCTTGATGACAAAATATTTATTATCCTGGCCTAAAACATTGGCTGCAATATTACAGTTGAAAGTTTTTAAATTCTCCAAAGATGAAGGATTACACACTTGTATTCGTTGTGCTATTTGGAAGTGTATTCACGAATGGAGACGCCGAACTAAATAGAACAAGGTAAGACAAGACGTAAGGACGGTATTGATAAATCTGATTAATCAGAGTGATTTCATTACGAATTGACTGCAATAAGTGGGCACCTTTAAACTTAAGACGAGTCTCTCTTTTGAGAAGTCGGACGAATGCAAAGGGTACAAGTCTCCCGTAGCAGGTTTGAACCCATTTCTTGTTGGATTTCCTCAAATATCATATGCGTGCAGGAAAATAGCGCATAGTATCTCATACTTGAGTGGGTTTGGGGTAGATATCACCCGGGAATATATATCGTATCTGAGGAGCGGGCAGGATATATTGTTTATGTCCCGCTCCAGGCCAAATGCGGGCAGATATAATATATCCATCCCGCTCCCGGGAATTTTTCAAAAGTTTAAATATCATAAGTTTTAATTTTTTAATTTTAAAATTTAATGTTTTTAAGTTTAAATGTTACAATTTCATTGTATTGAACAAAAAGAATATTACGAAAATGTTAAATATAAATATCTTGTCATTTGAAAAAGGTGGAAAGGGTTATATCTACCCTAAACCCACTCAAGTATGAGATACACCAGTTATGCACGGTCGGTTTGGATACATGGAATATCCTTTGGGATATACAATACATCTTCCCTCGGTCCCTTCGGTCCCTCGGGAAGATATTTTGTATATCCCTCGGGATATTCCCTGTATCCTAAACCTCCCAGTGCATAACCCCTATATATCCTGTTTCGCAATGTTGTGATTTTGATATTCACGAGCGAATATCGAGATAAGCTCCCATCGTATCACGCTTTCAATCTCAAAGTTAAATGAAGAGAATGCCATTTAAAATAAAATAGTATGACAAGTTCATTAAGTCACCTAAATTCCCAATGAATATCAAGTTTACTTACAAATCATACAGATGATACATTACGTTACAAAGAGCCTACCCTAGTCGGTTATTTTTTACTTTACTTCACCTCGAAGATGGAAAATTCATGAAGGAAATTATCAGACAGAGGATAGTTTATACAGGGTGGGCCATGAATCCAATACCTAACTTTAAATCAGGATAAAAAATAATTACGTTCAATACATTGACTGAATATACATAATTTTAAAGGTAATTCATTTTCAAACAAGTTGGTATAGCACACTATGTTATAAAATCGATAGTAAAGGTATATTATACTTATTTGAGAGCCCGGCGTAATGGTACTTTTGTTTAATCAAAAAATGAAAATCCCAAATTTCCCTCCATATTGCAGTCACAGCTGCACTCAATATACTTGACTCAGTCATTATTTATCTATGTAAAAGTAATACATAATTGACCCTTTCCATTTAAATGGAAAATAGATGGCATCGTGGGTATTGGTAGGGCTAAGGTAGGGCTAGAATACATGTAAATGTATTGCCAGAGTCACTTAATTTTACTCTCGAAATATTTGAATGTTTTATAGAGCAGTGATTACTGGCGTACAACCTACCATAGTATTACGAAATGCCATCCTACTTATTCTGGGCTTTGGATTATTCTCTGTATTAGTTGCAATTACTTTTCATCTTATCCGAAAGCATATCTTTCGAGATGCTTCGAACTTGGACACATCATTTGACGCAGGAGGAAAAGTATCCGTAGGCCTGACTGCAGCAACTCTTGTATCTCAGATGACATGGGCAGCATCGCTGTTACAGCCTGTAACCGTTACTCTTAAGGTTTGTCCAATCATAGCAATTGAGAAGACAATGTTTATTATACAGGGTGTCCCGAAGGTATGGGCCTCCCTTAGGCAGACGTATACCAATGTCTCCATAGGATATGTCATTTTAAAGGATGGCCAAAGTTACACTGATTTGCCAAGTATCATGGTTCAACTCACAAATGGAAAAAAGTTACAGACATTTCAAAATGTAGTGTTTGCGCAAAATTAAAATTCAGTTTTACACCAATTTGATAGTCGATGTGTCTCCCTAAGCCATATTAACAGCAGCAGTTCTATTCAGATATGACCTTAAACGCGCTTTTGTAATCATCATGAAACCTTCTTAAGGCATTTTAGAACTATTTCCTTGAGTATTTGCACTCATCGCACTCATATTTTAGGTCACATTCAGGCAGAGCTGTTTCCAGGATACTGAATTGAAATTTAATTTTGGCCAAACACTAAGTTTCGAATTGTCTTTAAAATGATATATGACACATGGAGCTATTGGTATATGTCTAACTTGAGGGGTCACATACTTTCGGGACACCCTGTAGAATTAGTAATCAATATAGATCCTAGACTTACTGTGTGCATATTAGAGAATACACAAATACATATTTGACAAAATAATCACTCCGAAATTATAACAGATTTGTCTTTACAGTATGGCATAAGTGGACCAATTTGGTATGGGGTTGGAGGAACGTTGCAATTTATCTTGGCTAACCTATCTGTTCACCTCAAGACGAAGTCACCAGGAGCAAAAACATTTCTTCAGGTGACATGTACAATGTAGTTCAGCAAGGCTTAAGCCAATTATATCAAAATGCCCCTTTTTATTTACTTGATTAATTATAATTTATCCATTTTGAGAAAACATGAGATAGCACAGATTAAAAGATGGGGCCATCTCAGTTTAAACTGGAACTGAATTCTGTGAATATCCAGGGTGTTCAAAAAGTAAGAAAATAGATGCTCTAAGAGGGGAATGTTCCTTCAAAGTTCATGAGGAACTACAATTGATATTGAAATGAGATTTTGACAACATGCCATTCAAAAGACCTTTCCAACAAAAAGGTGCCAGCAGTGTTTATTGGAAAGATGTGTATTTTCATGACACATTGTCTCAAAAAGTGTCTCAAAGTGTCTGGTAATTTTTGTTACGTATATCACCAAAAGTAGTAAGCGGAATGGAAGAATTGGTTCAATAAATTGATATTCAGCAACGACACAAGTAAAAGGTATTTCATTTCATTTCGAAAATTTAAAATTCGAATTCCAAGAGCACCATTTTGTTCACTTCAGAATTTAAATCGCGAGGTTTTGTATTACATGTACAAAAAATCCAAAACACACAAATGATCGAGATATTGATTCGTCATTTTTAGACTATATTATCTTACAAGTTAATAAATATATTGTCTTGTGTCATTTATAGGCTGTGGCAATTTAAATATCAAACATTTCATTTTCTTAAAATTAGTAATAATTAATCTTATAATCAATAAATGTATGGTACAAAAGACCGTTATAGTAATGAAATATGAGGTATGTGTCTTACTGCTAATTTATTTTGTGTTATATTCGTCGAAGTAATTTTTGTAATCGATTGCATCATAACTTAGTGGCTTAAGGTCAGAGGGGGAGAAACACCAGGGTTCAAAGATGACATACGCTTATAATGTAAATCTGTATTGAGATGACATTGTCGCTGATTGGTCAAAAGTCGACAAATAAATGACGTCATCAATGGCGGTTTCAAATTTTTCGGAATACGCTTCGAATAACATTATGTTCATTTCTGGCGCGTAAACCAATATCATAGCTTTTCATTTCACATCAAGATAAAGAAAGGTGTACGGAATATGCTTATATCAATTAAAACATCCCATCGAAGTGCAGTATTTGATGAAAAGCCGATGAAAATTCAAACGAACGAAGGTGGTAAGCAAGAGAGGTAATTATGTCTGTCATCTTTAAACTCTGGGGCTTTCCCTCCTCTTGCTTAAGGTGAAATATTGAAGATGATGTCATTAAAGGCCAGAGCTAAAGTTTGAGGTGTAATTATTTTGTAAATAGATTTTTACATTTTACCAGTATCACAACAAACGTATATACATGTATCTAGGTGATCCGGGCAAGATTTGGTGCTCCGACCCATATTGTGTACTCTGTGTTTGCTGGCATAACCAATCTTATTACAACCATGAGTTTATTGCTGGCTGGAAGTGCTGTATTAACTAGTTTAACATTGGACCTTTCCATAGAGCTTGCCTGTATGATACTAGCTGCCGTAATAGGTTAGTAGGACTAATTCCTTTCCATAATGAAACTAAATTAAAGCTAAATCTAATAGATTAGCCCACGGGATTTCTCTTGAAAGCGCATTTCCTAGGATCGCCTGTGAGCAAAAAACATGCACAGTATCACGATTACTGCCATCAAGATGATAGATACTGGTATAGACATATTTGCTGGAATTACACATGGCGTTTTACAAAAGCTTCTTCGGTTTTAACCAGGTTTAAGAATCAGGGGTAATCACGATTGCGGTTTTACAAAAGCGCTTTTCTAAAACTCCAAGAACCCTTGTCACTATTAAACGGCATAAGTCGTTAGGCGTTGTAAGTGTGCAGTGTAATACCGATCGGTTTTTGTAAGACGCCTTACCCGGGTTTTTACTAGTTTTTAACATTTGCCCTAAACAAAATATTTGATACATTTGAAACATTTGATACATGATGAGACATCTGGTCACATCGAAATCAAGTGTTGTCTTCAGAGAATATGTACATATTTTTCTTTTACCTTTTTATTATGTTTTCTCATAATAAATAAAAGATAAATAAAAATTATGCAATGTCACGCATTTTCAATCAAATTATGGAAGATCAGTTTTGTCTTAGATGCAAAAAGAATACATTTACAGGATGTACACATACATGTATGCTGGATAATCCATAACTAAATCGTTAAAAGTTCACGAAAGGCGTTTTAGAAAAACAGGTGTAATTCCAAAATATAATTCCTAAGACGCTTTAGAAATGTTGGTGTAATCAGAATGGCGATTTTGTAAAGCGCCTTCCACTAAAACGTTTTAGCGGATTTTGTGGTTTAATTCCATCAATTGTTTTAGGTTCTTACACCTTGATTGGTGGCCTTGGAGCAACATTCTATGTGTCTTACTTCAACAGCGCCCTGATATACTGTTTCATTATAATAATGGTTGCTGAGATATTCTTGAAATCACCAGAGATAAATTTGCCATATGGGACCCCTGAAATTGTGCATAGTTACATACAAAACGCAACAGGACCAGATGGTAACTATGACAACAGTTTCCTCACAATGCTGTCATCCCATGGCCTAATGTTTGGAGTGATCAATTTGGTGATGTCTTCTGGTTCACAACTTGGGGACCAGTCATATTGGCAGAGTAGCATAGCGGCAAAACCTGGTCACGGTATCTGGGGGTTTATTGCTGCTGGGATTACATGGTTCGCAATCCCATTGGCACTTGCAACAAGTGTAGGTCTGGCATACATAGCAATGGAAAAATCGCAGGGGTCTCCTATTCTTTCGTCAATTGACATCGAAAGAGGTATTTTCTCTATTCAAACTTTTTCTCAACAACACATCTCTGTTTTCGACAAGAATAAATGTTGCAACTTATCTGTTTCCAAGACGCATAAAATAGGGGACAACGTCAAATTTCAAAGGTTGAAAAAACGGTGTTAGCCATGTATTTATTTCTTACCACAATCGACTATAAACACCACCAAAAACTTTCTCCCAAAGGGAAAAAGTTGCGGCTGTCTCAAATTGCAGTTATACATACTTCAATCTTTAAATCGGCCAATATTTAAAAAGGGGGCATTGTTTTGCCCAACCTGTACACATATAAGAAATGGAATTTGCAAGTAGATGATTAACCCCATTGACGTGTGCTTTCCATACATAGGATTGGTGGTACCAGTAGTTGCTCAAGCAGTACTTGGAAGAACAGGGGAGTACATGTTATTTCTTGCCATATTGATGGCGATAATGTCAACAGGGTCAGCTGAGGTTATTGCTGTTGCGTCATTGATTGTGTATGATGTCTACCAGCCATACATAAATCCTTTCAGGTTTGATATGTTTTTGTCTCACATCTTTAGCTGTTATACAGCACATCGGCCCACATTGTCCAAAAGCTTAACAGATTGTCTGATGATGTCTATCAGCATGTATGACCCTTTCAAGTTTGGCATGATTTTTGACTCACATCTTGAGCTTATGATTATGGCAATTATCAATGAATCAAATACTGATTTAGGATAGATTCAGGTGGTGGAGATGCCTAGAGTATTTTCATTCAAAAACAGATAGGTGAAATTTTATTTGGTAGTCTCGAATGTTTTGCAGTGCTTCCTTACCTGGAAAAATAGCAATACACTCAAGCAATTCCCAGTACATCGGGGAGGCCTATTTTGAATGAAATTGCGGTTCTCGTAGTGAAGAATGTATTTCCTTTTGGCTCGTCGACGAAAATACTATACTCGTTTCTAACCACTTAAATTGGCGTAGGTTTGATAATTATGTAACCATCTGCCCATAATACAGTGTAAGTAACTATATGTCATTGTACTTTAGAAAGAATCTGAGAGAGGGTGAGTGTATACTTTGTGGTAAATCCCACAGGCCTTCAAATGATACATACCACGAGGATTGTGCTGTTGCTATAGATACAATAGAAAATGATGAAAACGAAGCATGCTCCTGTAAACCAGTAGTTGAATGCAGAGAATGTGCAAAGGACAAAGATTTGAGATCATTGAAGAAATCTAATCTAGGAGTTAGAAAGCCCTATAAATGCAAAGTCCACGGGTTGTACAAACAATACCAAGATGATTTGCTGAACTTTAAGAATTGGTGCATTCTTTGGGTCACGCTCTTCACGATTCCTCTGGTGTTGTTTTCACACTGGGTTGGATTAAACTTAGGATGGGTCTACTATTTCACCGGAGTGATGATTGGTGGGGTCGTCATCCCAGTGGCGCTGAGCATCCTTTGGAGCAGGGTCACAGCTACTGGTATGATATCAGGTATGGATTGTGCGATTAAATCTAATTTTCTTATTTTTGATGCAATGCCTCTAAAAATTGATATGTATATAGCTCAGACATTTCTGTACATGTTGTTAGGATTTGAGTGAAATTTATGCAACAGTGTTGTCATGACACCTAAAATATATTTATGGTGTGTCATGAAAAAAAAACCAGAAATTCACTTCATTTACAAAATGGCGGATTTCAACAAGAAAATGCAGCAAACTCCTCGAGTCGAGGTCTCCAAGTCAAAAAAATGCCCGACCCTCTTATATATCTGTTGATTATCCTTGTTTATAACTGATTCAAGAGCGTGGCACTGAACGAACCTATATGCCTATTTGTTATTTGTTTAGTTGTTGGTTGGGTAACATGTTTATGACGTCACAAATGATGCGAAGAATCTTTAAATCAATCAGTGAAGTCTATATTAATTGTTTGTTTAGTTGTTGATGTGGCAATACGTGTCTGACGTCACGGGTAATTGCATCATATTCCAGTCACGCCATTTTACAACATTGTATAATTTTAGCTGATTTTGGCTTCATTTCACTTTATTTGAAAGACTTTTAAAAATATAATAATGAGTCAGTTTTTTTTTATAAATATTTATATTTGAATTTGAGGTCAAAGTCCGAAAATTTGATCAACTGATTGAATTCATATTTTAAAGAGGTGAAGAAGTGAATAATTACAGGAGAAAACGTGATCAATGGTTCGAGGTCTCCCGCAAAGTAGTCGCTACGCTCCTACTTTGCGCTGCCTTCGGCAGAGGAGACCTCAAAAAAAGGAGGGAAATTTGAAAAGAAGTTATCATGCAAAGTTGAGTGTTAATTAATAGTCAGAGTTGATGATAAACACCTCTTTTAACAATTAAGTACTCTTATAAACACCCGATACTACCATAGATGAGTTGGTCAACAAGTTACTGAAAATCCATGGTTTTATCCAATTTTCCTCATTTTTACGTTCACAATATTGATAATAATTTGATGGTTTTATGTAATACACTTATGATATAATTACAAATGAATAAGTTATTAAATTCTACATAATATAATTTGTACAAGATGCCATTTTAATTCTGTTCATGTTTTATAGTGCAGGGAAAAGGGGTACTCAGAGTTGGGAATACTAATACTGGTGATTTTATTCCAAGCTCAGAGTCATTGGGCACCCCTTAGAGTTGAGTTCAAACTGGGATTAATGAAAATTACTATTTAGAAATGAACTGCAATTCTTTTTCAGTAACTGTCACATGATATCATGCCTCCCCTATCAGATGAAGATAAGGCTATAATCAAAGTACTGAGAACAGAAAAGAAATATGGGGCAAAGAAAGTCTGTAAGATGTTTCCAAATAAAAATTGGAATGTTCGCACAGTTGCGAAACTCATTAGAAAAGTTGACATCACTGGCTCCACTAAGAGGAAGCTTGGAAGTGGGCGTCCCAGAAAAGCAGAAAACATAGAGACTGTAGCTGATTTAATATGTAGCCAAGAGGATAACCCAGGGAGTAGCATGTCTCCAAGAGAGATAGAAAAGAAAGCAGGCATATCCAGATCAACCGTTCGAAGAATTGCCAAAACTGAGTTAAAGATGAAAACATTTAAGCGCCAGCACCTTACTCTCTTAACAGACAACAATAGAAAGAAAATATAATAGCAAGCGATTCCTGAGAACATTTTCCAAACGTATGGTAGATACAACCTGGTTCACAGACGAGAAGATGTTCACAGTTGATCCACCTAAAAATTCACAAAATGATCGGATTTACGCTGATGTTGAAACAAAGAAGCAAATACACCGAGAGCGACTTGTAAAGGAGAGGAGAAAGTTTACCTCAAAAATAATGGTGTCTGCCGGCGTATCTAAATTGGGAAAAACTAGAGTATCGCATCAATCCAAACTACATATTCCAACAAGATGGGGCTCCCTCGCACACATCTAAAGCGACAATGGAGTTCTTGCATGCCAATGCACCTGATTTTATCCCCCCTGACTTATGGCCCCCAAATAGCCCTGATCTCAATGTTATGGATTATTTTGTGTGGGGTGAACTAGAAAAACATGTTCATAGTGTTCCCATCCATTCAGTTCAAGAACTCCAACAAAGAATAACTTTATGTTGGGAACAATTATCACAACAATCAATTAACGCGGCAATAAATAAATGGCGTCATAGACTAAAACTGGTTGTGCAGGAACAAGGAGGACATATTAAACATTTACTTTAAAAACAAAACAGCCAAAGACACACCTAATGTTATATATCGACCTTGTTTAGAAATGTCTCAGTTATCTACATATCAATTTTTTAAGGGATCGCATCAAAAATAAAAAAAATGAGATTAAAATGAAAAAGGGTGAACTTTTTTTGGCCCACCCTGTATATATGTGATACATACTGTACAAAGCGTGTTTTTGAAATTCCTCAATGGTCGCCAATTTTTGGGCAATAACTCCACAAAGATTCCATTAGTTTGCTTAAAATTGCACAGGTAACTTAGCTTCTCATACTTTAAATATTAAAAATGTTGAAACCTTTCCATGTGAGCTCAATACCTATTATGCTGGCGTTTTTGTGGAAGTGCTAAAGTTTAAACGTAGTTCTGCATTTTTGCAGGTGTTCTATCTGGCTGCCTTTGTGGTATATCTTTATGGTTGGGGCTTGCTTCCACATATGATGGGGGATTGACTCTGAAGAATACCGGCAGAGATGTTCCTGCTTTGGTGGGCAGTTCAGTCTCATTGGGCTTGAGTGGAATTATATGCATTATTGTCTCATTGTTCACGCTTGATAGAAAGAAATTCAACGAGGAAGAAGAATGGAACAAACTGAGAAATATTGAGAACCCGCTTCACCCTTGGGCAATCACTTATGCTCGTGACTTTGATACAGTTAAGGATTTGGGTTCAAGATTTGTGCGACCTACCTATGCTGAAATGAGATATCGCTTCCGAAAGTCTCGAATAACTGCTCTCATTATAGGGTTGACACTATTTTTGGGATTTGTCATCGTCTGGCCCTGTGCTATGATTCCTTTTAAAGTCTTCACCAAGAACGAATTCTACCATTGGACAACATTCACCATGGCGTATGTTTTCATAGCAGCTGCGTTCATTATCATCGTCCCTCTTGTCCAAGAAATTTATTTGATTTTTGGCAAGATTAGGAATAATCGAATGAACAGTAAAAAATCCAGGAAGATGAGTAACCATATCAACACCAGCTACATGCGAGAGTAAAGATGTTATTAAAGTTTTAACCCTTTCACGACGATAGGCACCATTATTTTTATTTAAATATATATGAATGAAATGATAATATCTCCAGTTCTATTCGGTATGTTTACACCAAGTTTTGACAAGTTGTTCTAATGTGATAATCCTTACTAAAAATTGTATTTCAGTGATAAAAATTCAAGGTATAGGTCCCGGGGCGTAGGTTTTCCTCTTATATTCACGTCTGGAAAGGGTTAATATCCTTTGTTGACCGTTAGAAGCTCAGAAAACTAAAAGGTGCCATTTCCCGTAGTAAGAAAAGGTCTAGATATGTGATATCATTTGACCATTACAGGGTGGGCCAAAAAACGCCACTTTTTTCAAGACGCTACAACTTTTTTATTTTCCAACCTACATACCCCAAATTTTGCAGTTATATAGTGCCAAGGGTTCTTAGTAATAATATAATGTAACAAGTCCAATTGGTCCGCCACCCTAATTGATGATATATTTTAGTTTTAGTCGCATTGCTGATATTGCAGTATCAATGAAATGTTAGCTTGAGTTTTTTTCAACCTGTCTTAATTGCCAGCTTTAGTTGAGCAATTTTCTAGATTGGGTGCCTTCATACAATCTCCTGCAGACAGGCCTTCCCATACCTTATGCTCACTGGGGCTTGCAACAAGGCTATTAGCTTGGCGATCATCAGGCCGTATCAGTTCAGGAACATTTTGCAAATTATGCTTATTTCTCATGGCACACCACATGTTTAAGTAAGACGCTGGTGACATATTTTATTCAAGTAGAAGTGTATAATTCATGATCAATGGCTAGATAACAACCTCACGTTTCATTTGATATGCAAATTATGATTTAATATCAAAAATTAAAAAAGTTATAGAATTTTGAAAAAAGTGGCCCACCCTGTATATCGGATGAAATGTGAATCGTTTTACCTATTTCCATGACGTAAAAAATAAATGTTGTTTTTTATAAAGAATTAAAAAACAGATGGATATTCTTTCTCAGTCTTGTCTTTGATCTTTGTATTTCTTTAGTTTAGTTTTAATTCCATTATTTAGTGCAAAACACGTCATCTTGTTACCACCATTGCGGAGATTGAACAAAGGACATACTATTTCAATGATAAATGTCATATCAAACGTGCCACTAAAACAGGCAATGCGCCTATTTTTGAAGGAAAAGGGACAAAGTATTATTTGAGACATGTCACTCACACAGTCAATCAAATATGATAAAAACTTTAATTTGAGATAATACTGAAGTGAAAAAAATTACTTGCATGGAAAACGGCATTTGAAGTTCAGGATTGAAAAAAGTGAATTACCACTTTTCACAAAGTGTATGTTTTAAATAACTCTTGGATTAAAAGATGGCGTATGCTTGAAAATCTTATTAAAAATGAATGGATAATTAATGCAAACAACAATGCCATCTTTCAATGGCATTGTTAAAAACTTGACACATATAAATTTATAGATCAAAAATATTTTTTCATGATCTAGTGTCAACTCTGATGTGGTCTGTTTGAGCTGTTTTTGGTGTCAAATGAAAGATCAGGCACTTATTTATCCATTGGAAATACTATGAGGATCGAAAGTGAGACTTCATTTACGCACTTTGTCCCTTTAAATGTTTAGCATATTAAAAAAAGTTGTACCCTAAATGATATCATTGTGATGTCATTTATGTAGCAATCTTTGAACATTTATGTAGCAAAACAATGCAATGTTGATTGTATACTTGATTGAAAGAATATATTATGTTTTAAATATCATCGCATCATTGGTTTCTATGAGAACTAAAATGTGTACTTTTCTAAAAAAAAAATTATAGTTTCTAAATAGCTGAAAAGTGCTGACATAATAGATGTCACCCTTGTTTGTCTTTGATTTTCTAGGGCCAGACCTCCTCCACTCACTCCAATGTTAGAAACTTGCAACAGTCACTTAATTTCATGATTTATCAAACCGTGTTGGTTGAATCTGTCTGAAACTTGAATGGCATACTATTGGATGACCCTGTCCATGTACATATTGTGATTAACCATGAAAATATTGGTTGTCATACGAATAAACCAAGGTTTTAATGAATTTCAGCATTGCACCAATGGAGATTTGGCCCAATTTTTTTTTAAATGTCACGGAAAGTGATTTAAATGACATAACTGTTTAAATCAAAGCTATAATTGGAGAAAACTTGTCACTGAATCCAAATATGCTATCAAAAATAAAGAAAAGTAATTCATTAGAGGAAAAAAGTGCAAATCTCTTAAAATCCCATGTAAAAACGAGAATTAGCGAGATTTCAAAGCTATTTAGAAACTCCTCTAATAGAATAATTTTTCTGCAAAAGGCACGTGAGGATGAATGCTATGCATTGGAGTGAATTATCGCAAAAGATATGTTTGAGCTCAAAAATCTAGTTTTACATCTAGCGTCCCGGAACTAATGAGAATTTTTTGAGGAAGATATAAGGCATGGATGATTTTTCGTCGAAAAACTAACCAGTTCTAAACTTTCATGGGTAGAAACATCCCTGAGAATTTCGAATGAATCACTCAAACGGTTTGGCTGGAAACCTGTAGACAAGCCTTGACAGAGAAGATTTTAGGACGGAAAATCCAAAATGGCCGCCTTAACATTTACCCAGAATGCCGAAAAACTAATCAGTTCTAAACTTTCATGGGTAGAAACATCCCTGAGAATTTCGAATGAATCCCTTAAACGGTTTGGCTGGAAACCTGTAGACAAGCCTTGACAGAGAAGATTTTAGGACGGAAAATCCAAAATGGCCGCCTTAACATTTACCCAGAATGACGAAAAACTAATCAGTTCTAACTTTCATGGGTAGAAACATCCCTGAGAATTTCGAATGAATCCCTCAAACGGTTTGGCTGGAAACCTGTAGACAAGCCTTGACAGAGAAGATTTTAGGACGGAAAATCCAAAATGGCCGCCTTAACATTTACCCAGAATGCCGAAAAACTAATCAGTTCTAAACTTTCATAGGTAGAAACATCAGAATGCCGAAAAACTAATCAGTTCTAAACTTTCATAGGTAGAAACATCCCTGAGAATTTCAAATGAATCCCTCAAACGGTTTGGCTGGAAACCTGTAGACAAGATTATTCGGGACGTCCGCTCGCCCGCCCACCCAACCGCCCGGCAAGCTGATTACAATATAGTCCAACAACATTAGACCTAGCCTGGGCCTCGTTTTTTATCTAACATGTCTTATGGCCCCGGCTAGGTCTAACCTCCATGATCATTCTGCCCTTAATGCGTTAATTTAACCGTTCCACAGGTTTCGACGAGCGGAACTAATTAAACTCTGAAAACATGGTAATATTACATAAATAATGTGATTCAAGCATGCATACATACCTAATAAATACATACACATCATCCCGTATCCCCTTAGACCCTATTGGTGCATAATTACGAAAATATTGGAGACAGGTTTGGTATTTTACGAAAATGTCGGTCAGCTCCGGTAACATCGAAATTGCAAATCGTATCAGGAATTAACCGTCATTGCGACACTGCATCAACGAACAGTAGGTTATGTGTTTTTATATTGTTGTCGAGTATCAGTTGCATGTTATCGCGGAAAAATGATGGATCCAGAACTTGCATCAAAGGAAAGAATAGTAAGGAGGTTAAACTCATTAATGGCCAAGAAAATTCCTAATAGTAAAGAACGCCGTTATTGAGTTTAACGACTTTGAACTAATTACAATATAGCACCTTAGGGTGCGATAAATAAAACAGTTGAATAACATACTAGAAAACGTATCTACATATAACACAATGACACGCAATATAAACTAGACATGTAAATTGAACAAGTTCAATTTAAGACTCCAGATTTCAAACTTTTTCTAAGCTGAGTCATCCAGAACTTGTAAGCTGAGTCATCCAGAATAAGCTTAGTCAGCTAGAATATAGACATTTAGACAACTCTTAAGAATGTTATCTTCGACTCCATTGGCTTAACATGGGGATATCATCATATCGACTTTTCGAGACTTCAAACTGCAATTACTACCTAACCAGTAGTTGGATTGAAATTTGCTTTAAAGATTCGGATTCCTGAGAAAAATCTACCCTTAATTCATAACTCATATGTTAAATTGGGAGAACTTTTTATTTTGACCTACATTTCGGACACCATATCTCAAAAGTGGGTCAAAATACTTTCTGACGGCAAAAGGCTGACACTATAAGTACACTCTTTGCTACCTGTATACAAAATTTCGGAGCAAATCATTAAAGTGTAATATCAGAATCGCAAAAATAAGGAAAAACTATGAATTTGACCTAGATTTTGAACTAGGCATTTTGGTGTCCAAATTTTAAAGCTAAATAGCCTTCGAGGTCTCCTTCTTTTATAGGCTTTCAGAATGTTAAGCTGTACTCAGTCTATATCTGGTATTTTACACTTCAAAAAAATCTTTTTTCTCATTGACATAACATGGGGTAAAAATTTAGCGATTTTTGAGCTTTCAAAACGCCATAACTTCCAAAACCGAAAGTCGGATTGAAATTTGATTTGCAGATTCGGATTCCTGAGAAAATTCTACCCTTAATTCATAACTCATACGTTAAATTTGGAGAACCTTTCATGTTGACCTACTTTTCCGACACTATATCTCAAAAGTGGGTCAAAATACTTTCTGACGGCAAAAGGCTAACACTGTTAACACACTCTTTGCTACCTGTATGCAAAATTTTGAAGCAAATAATTAGAGTGTAGTGTCAGAATCTAAAAAATAAGTTAAAACTATAATTTTGACCTAGATTTTGACCTAGGTATTTTGGTGTCCAAATTTTGAAGCTAGATAGCTTTAGAGGTCCGTTTCGTTTATAGGCTTTCATTATGTGAAGCTGTACTCAGTCTATATCTCGTATTTTACACTTCAAAAAAAATCTTTTTTCCCATTGCCATAACATGGGACACCAAATTTAGCGATTTTTGAGCTTTCAAACCGCCATAACTTC